TGGAGTTTTTGTCAACTGAAGTTCATAGACACCTCCCGTGTGTGCAGAGGCTGAAAGCAGATCAGTTGAAAATGTATGGCCCACTGTCCTCTCCTGACAGTTCTTGAGTGGGCCAGGCAGGTTGTACTCAGACCAGTGTCCCTGTGATGTGTAGGTCGTATGAGAATGTCTGTATTGTCCTTACCTCAAAGGGTTTACGTGCTTCTTCAGCTTCTTCCTTTGGAGTGGGAATAGGAAAGGAGGAAAGGTACAGAGACGAGGCTTCCCCAAACCCTCAAGTAATTTGGATGCAAGAGTACCAGAGAGTGTGCGACTGGCAAGGACTCGAGGATGGAGGGTCCCAAGCTAGCCCGGGGGTGGTTTGGAGAGAAGGGCTGAGCTGAGTGCTCATGTGCTCAGGAAAAGTATGTGTTGTTGTAGGGCCAGAGGCAGAAAAGGAGACAGACCAAGAGGATGGCAAGCCTTTGAGGAGATACTGGTTGGGTTATTATGCCTTCTCATAGGATTTGAGCTCTCTCCCATGTAGAAAGCAGCCAGCCAGCCAATAAGCAGAGGAAACTGGTATCAGAGGATGCTACATCGAAAGTCTCATTAGTATTCAGATTCACTAAAGTTGGTACTATATTGATTATTTGGCCTAAAACTCAAGTCCTTGTTGTATGTAAGACATGACGACCACACCATAATTTTTCTCAGCTAATCTTACGGATACTGTTTCATTATCCATACATCATGGAAGTCTAATGGTTAAAATGGTTTTTCATGAGCTTTTTTTTAAAAATTGATCTGAGCATTTGCTTTAGAAGATTTCAAGAAAACTCATCTGCTCTGTCTGTTACTCAAGCAAGACTGGAAGGCAGTATACAGCTGTCTCTGGGCTCCCGAGACAGCAGGGTAAAAATAGGACAAACTTTAAGAATCCCAGATATTCTCAGATAACAAAGACTGATTTATTCGGGCCTGTTTTGTGCTCAGACAAAACAGAGAAGTCTTTGTGCTGTGCTTAGCAAGGGTGCTGATGACAGACCTCCTGTCAGGCATCGGGCTTTATTCTGTGACTAAATTGTGCTTTGTCCCACCGTCCAGAGAACCTTTGTATCTGCCTTGTTAAAGTGTGAGTTTATGTAATTGCTTTTGTTTTTTTCTATTTCATTGGTGCCAGATTCAATGAGAGTGACTCATTTTGTGACCGAGGCAAACATTCACATTTGGACCATGTTAAACATAAACAAGCAAGTGGCAGGTGCAGCCGCCCGCCTCGGCTCTGTGTCTCGGTGCTGCCATTTCTTATCTCAAGAGTTCAGGTCTCAGGTAGTGGCTATTCGGCTCCCGTGGTCACTGGTCCACCATGCCCCGGGCAGTTTCTAAAGGCCTTTTGGCTGTTGGTGACAGGCAGGTCCAAATGAGGAGATCTGGTTAAATGGGAAGTAGAAACTGATACTTACAGTATCTCAAAAGCACACAGGAAGACGACAAGGCAGTCTCTTCTGGCTCTGTAGTTTCCCCACCATACATCAGTGTTTTGGAGCAGTTATTTTACATGTGTTTTTCACACATGTGCCCCATTCAGGGGCTCGTTTCCTCATAGAAGATGTTTGGAAAGCATTGGTGAAATTTTAATGAGACCATAGAGTGCATTTAATATTCCCCAAACTGTACAACTTTATTTCCTTTGGGAACTGTGAAGGTGGCCAAGGAAGGAAAGGCCTAGAAGGTTGGGAAAGAAAACATAATGGGCTTTTGGAAACAGAACATAGGAAGAGTTTGGCCTCCCAAAGACAGAAGACAGAAGTGATAGTTGATAAAAATGTGAGGGAGGAAGGGTAGAAAGTCATTTAAAGGATTGTAGGCAGAACTGGAGAGATGTTCACTTGAGAAAGTACTTACCAGGCAAGTGATGAGACCTGAGTTAGATTCCCCAGAACCCATGCAAAAAAGCTAGGCATGGGGGTGTATGCTTATAAGCCCAGCCCTGGAAAAGTTAGCAGAGGCAGATCATTGGGAGTCAAAGACCAGCTAGCCTACCCTCCTTAGCTAGCTCTAGACCAGTGAGAGACCAAACTAAAAAACAAAACAAGATCAAGGTTGAGCTCTGCTCTCTACATGCATACACACACACACACACACACAGACACACACACAGATATCTAAAATGGTTAGGTAAACTGGGCAGAGCCAGCAGTGGATTGTTTTGGTGTGAGTCTGATGACCCTTCACAGCACAGCAGCCTTGGAGGCCCGCTCTGACATGCAGTCTAGACACTGACACCTGTACTACTGAGCCTGAGCCACTGGGGAAATGGATGAATTACGGTCAATGAATTATGTATGTAGTAAGGCATTTCAGAAAGATTTTCTCGTGAGCCATTAAAGTTTTAAAAGTCATTTCTGTATTTAAAGACAGAAGCTCCTCAATCTGGGGTGGGAGGTGAGGGGGAGACACACTAACCAGAGAGAAACTCCTCTGATGGCCTTGCATAAATAATACTGTTTTCTGACTTTCTGCTTCTTCATTGCTGTATCGGGCTTAATATTTATGGATTTCTTTATAGGTCTGAGGGCAGAGTCTTCTGTGTGCTACCACACCTTGCCAAAGGTGATAATTTTTTATGATGGCTGCTGTTTATTTGAATTAAATAAATGGATTTTTGTAATGCGGTGCTGCATTCATGTGTATCTGTGACCTTGTAACTTTCCGGTACTTGGAACACCCACAGAACTCCATGCCACCTTCTTCTGGCCACCTTCATTACTTCCTTGAGAAGGACTGGGATGGAGGGTGCTGGGCCCTCCATCGGTACCCAGACCCTTTGGTGATTTCCTAGTACCTCCATTCAAATCTAAGTATAAAATTTGGAGGCTAAGCCCAAAATATGTGCTAGAGAAACAGTTTTTATTAGTTACTAAACCTTTTTGTCATGTGTTTTCTGGATAAAGTGGAGCTGGTTTTGAGTTGCTTCTAACAACGCCTTTTAGTTAAATGTGGCAAATTTGTGACACACGGAAGTTCTGGAGCACTTGTCATGTTGCTTCCGCTGGCTTTAAACAGTGGATAATTTCTGATAAGCACACTTTATAGGTGTTAATGAAGACACCAGAATCTTGATTTGGGGGTCGGCTTAGGTTTGCAGAACAAGCATGAAGCTCACTCTTGGTCTGATGAGACCATAGAAAACCGAACTCCTATTCGGAAGATGGATGGACTCTTAAAACACTGTGAGCCCAAGGTGACTTTATCCCCACTCGATACTGAAGGGCCATGCACTTTGTATAGGTACGGTTTTCTAAACTAAAACATTGACACTGTTTTAGTGTGGTGCTGAGCAAAATAACCAGTGGCCACATGTGATGCCCCTAGAGCTGCAGAAACTCGTGTCTGTCCTTCCCGCTCACAGGGCTTCTTCTTTGGGTGACCTCATCTCGAGTGTTCATTCTGGAACGTAGATGCTTCTTAGAAGGTGCCCGAGACTTACTGCCTCTTACTATTTAGCTGTCTATGCCAAAGAAAAAAACTCAAAGAGCAGTGAGGCTTTTTGGTAGGTCTAGGGCCAGATTTGAAGAGTCAAAGGTGACTAGATTGTCATCCACCAAGTCTTGGAAAACTGAATGAGTATGGGCTTTCGGGAAGGCGGTGGTAAGCAGTGTTACAGCCTCCTCTAAAACATTCCTTTTTATGTTTAGGTATTTAAGTTTATGTGTTGAGTGTTTTGCCTGCATGTTTGTATGTGCATCATTCACACACACACACACACACACACACACACACACACACACACACACACTGGTGGCCTTGGAGGACATAAGAGGGATTGGATCACCTGGAACTGGAGTTCCAGGTGGTTGTGAGCTGTCATGTGTGTGCTGGGAACTGAACCTGGGTCCTTTGTAGGAGCAGCCAGTGCTGTTAACCACCGAGCCATCTTTAGGATAGCTCAGCTCCCGGCCGTCTTTAGGAATGGTATTAAAGATATAGAAGAAGGAACTATTGAGTCCAGATCCAGATTGCCTGCACACATGCATATATGCATGCACATGCTAGGAAAAGAAGCGTGACAATTCAGGAATACAAATCTCAGTAGTTTTAGAACAAACTGGCCATTACTATGACAGCTCATTGCCAGCATCTCAGGGAAACATCCAAGCCCGTTTCTCCCCCCCCCCCACTGTCTCACTCCTGAGAAAACATTTCTTATGAAGAAGTACCAAGTGTGTACTTTTGTGCGTAGGGATGGGGGACAGTGTGTGTGAATGTTAGCTCATGGAGGCTCATAGAGGATATCAGGGGACCTGCCCGGCTTATTTTTACCTTATCCCTTTAATACAAGGTCTCTCACTTGAACACAGAGCTAGGCTGGTGGCCAGAAAGCCCCAGCAACCCTTCCTATCTCTGCTCTGTGTAGCAGAGGTAGAGAAAGCCATGTTCAGCCTTGTATGTGGGTGTTGGGGACCAGGACTCAAGTCTTCATGCCTGCATGGCGACCTCTTCCCTGCTGAGCTGTTTCTCCAGTCCTTCTTTGACATATTAAGATAAGGAAAATCATTGTTTTTTTTTAAGTGGTGAAATAACCTACAATTTAACATTTTTAACTAATTTTCAGTAACCAGTTTAGTGTTACTAAATACATTCCCATTGTTACCCATTTTGACCCCTTCTCTAGAACTTTCTCCTTTTCCATCCTAGCCTCACAACTAGTCGACAATCTGACTCTGGGTTTGACTACTGTAAATAATTCATAAACAAGGTCACAGTATCTGCCCTTTGTGAATGGCTTTTTTTGCTTAGCTTGATATCTGTCCTTGTTCTGTGGCTGATACCATTTTCCCTATATTATTTATTGAAATGATTTTATATTTGGTTTCATTTGCTGTGTCATAGGAAAACTAAGACAAGATACTATAACTTTTTTTTCAGACAATGTACTCATGAAATTAGCTTAATAAACGTGTTTCACCTCAAAATGTTTCAACCTGACAGCAAATGGGTGTTTTGCTTGTTTCTAGGCGTGGAAGAGAAGGTGGTTTGTGTTGCGCAGTGGCCGTTTGACCGGAGACCCCGATGTCCTGGAGTATTACAAAAATGATCATGCCAAGAAGCCTATCCGGATTATTGATTTAAATTTATGTCAGCAAGTTGATGCTGGGTTGACATTCAACAAAAAGGAATTTGAAAACAGCTACATCTTTGATATCAACACTATCGACCGGACTTTCTACTTGGTGGCAGATAGTGAGGAAGACATGAACAAGTGGGTCCGTTGTATCTGTGACATCTGTGGGTTCAATCCCACAGAAGAAGGTAGGTCTAAGCTTTCATTTGGTTTATTTCTTTAATTTATTATATATGTATGGGTATTTTGCCTGTGTGAATGTCTGTGCATCACATGTATGCAGTGCCTGTGGAGATTAGAAGAAGGGGTGGCTCCCTGGAACTGGAGTTACAGATGGTTTTGAGTGGTCACGTGGGAGACAGGAATTGAACCAGTGTCTTAGAAGAATGGATGGTGCTTCTCAGGACTGATCCATCTCTTCAGACCCAGAGTTTAAGGTTTTGCTATTCAGTTAGTGCAAGCTTTTATTCCCTTTGTTTTGTGTGTGTGGGTGGGGGGGGAATGTCATTTTAGAAATGTTACAAAATTGTTATTTCAGTTATATGCGCTAATATTTTATTTTTACAATAGGGGTTTGACACTCAGAGCAGGCACTGAATGCTTCAGGCAGTGTTGAGAGAGGTTCTACAGGTTTTGAGAGTCTTAACTGGTATAGACCAGTCTAAATAACTGTCTTCGTGAAGAATTTGGGAAGGGGAGTGGCATGTGCATGCCACAATGCCGTTGTCAATTTGTAGAAGCCTGTTTTCTCCTTCCATCATGTGAGTGAGTCCTGGAGATTGAATTCAGGCGGTCAGTCTGGGTGACAAGTGCTTTAACCTGCTGAGCCACCTCATGTCACAGGTTGTGACATACACAGGCGTCATCATGCTTTGTTCTCACTGCTCCCCCACAGCCCCCTGCCCTCCCCGTGTTCGTCCTCTCTCCACAGCTGTCTCCTTGAGCTTTCCTGTCCTGTCACATGCCTCCAACACCTCATTTGTTCTCCTCCCTTTTGAGTACTTCCCCACGCTGGACGTGTTCCTTCCTACTTTCATGAAAAGAACACATTTTAAATGACTGTGTGTGAGATAAAGGTACTGAGTGCTTTTTTCTTTCAATATTTAATTAAACATTTTCCTGGATTTTGAGGTGTCAGGATCTGTTGGTTTTTGCTTTACAGACTAGCTACAGGGCTAGTTTTCAAAATAAAACTTGAAAGCAGCAGGGACGTTTTTAATGACAGAACTCCAAAGTCCTTAAAAATGGGTGACCAATATATTTGGGCACTTTGTGTCTTTGCAGTCACGTATGAAGTATAGAAGACGGTGAACTAATTTATAAATCATTATTCAAATATGGAATGTGTGGTTTGTGAGGAGGATACCGGAACAGCTTGGCTCATCACAAATCCTTTGTATTTGGCCCTAAACAGCCAGTCCCTCCCTCCCTCCCTCCCTCCCTCACTCAGTCGGAGCCGGCAAAGCACAAAGGGGCCAAAAATAATGGGCCCCCAGACGGACGC